ACACAGACACACACACGCACACACAGACACACACACACAGACACACTTAGGCACAGCCGCATACTTCCCAACGAGGAGATGCTGGCTATGCCGCGTTTTTTCGCCACGCTGCGTGCCAATGCAGCCTCGTGGGCGCCTCGTGGGCGCACCGCGCTCGGGGGGTCTGTCGAAGGGTTCGCCACGTCGCCGCCCGTGGGCGCCCCGCGCTTGGGGGGCGGGCGAGCTGCCTGTGCCGCCTCGTGGGCGCCCCGTGCTCTGAGCCCGCACGGCGCAGCTTCCCCCCACGGGGCCTCTCACCGCAGAGCTCAGACCGCGCAGCCGGCACCGCGGAGCTCACCTCACATAGCTCAAACGTTACGGCGCCCGCCTCCGGTGCACACCGCAGAGCTTGCACGACACACGTTACATGACGCAGCTTGCACCGCGCAGCGTTCACCTCCATGGTTCACGCCATGTAGCTTTCACGATCGAGCGCTGACCACGCGCCGGCAAGCACACATATTTTCACCGATGGCCTAATAGTATACATTGTAATGCTAACGTGCACGTGCATAGTTATATGTATATGTCAGGGTGAAAGGGCCGAACGGTCATTCATTGTCCCCGGGCGCGTGGCTGAAGTGGGGAGCCGTGGTGAGGATGTTGTTCCTTGCGTCGTTGTTGTTTGTTTGTTGTTGTCGTCCCACCCGCGACCCACCCCGCGACCCATCCCGCGACCCACCCGCGACCTACCCGCGACCCACTTGCGACCCACCCGCGACCCACCCCGCGACCCAACCGCGACCCACCCGCGACGCACCCGCGACCCAGCCGCGACCCAACAGCGACCCACCCGCGACCCAACAGCGACCCACCCGCGACCTACCCACATTGATGTAATGAAAAATGTAGAACACGTCGCCTGCGGCGGGCTCGTTGTGTTGTTTGCGAAATTTTGGCGTTTGCGGCAGGCCTCTCCAGAGTCTCGCACACTGCCAACGTCCCCGCCGCCCCCTGACTCTGATCCGAATCTGCGGGGTGCTATGTGGTTGCCTACTTGTGCGTATGTGTGTGCATGTGCGGCGATCGATGTATGCCAATATTCGATACGATGCCGGCAGGGGAGGAGTCCAACATGATGATGTACCTGGCCGTCGTCGAGGCATGCTATAGACTGACAAGTATGTCCATGTGTTATGCGGCTGTCTCCTCCTCGTCCTCATCCACCTACCCCTTTCTCGTCCTCATTCTCGTCCTATCGAGTGCGCGTTCCTCGCTGTCTGCCACCTAATCCGCCTCAGCTACCCGCTGCCCTCCGTGGGGCCGTGGCCATGTCTTGCCCACTGATGGCAATATTGAGCGCTCCTCGATGATTGTTAGCACGCTGAGTAGAAGCAGGATCGGTGGTGACAAAGTGCCTGATCGATATCTCTCTGTCTCTCCCTCTCTCTTTCTCTCTCTCTTTTCGTTTGTCGGACCTGGTCCAGATGGTTCACGATCGTGTGGTCTGAAGCTATTTCAGTTGGCCAACCAAGCATATGAATCGTTGGGCAGAGTGCAGAATAATGAGCAGGAGAGAGAGGTGCGGAGTTATGAGACCATCGTAAAACATATCAATGCCTAACTCCGAAACGAGGAGGCGATACCGTCCTGTGAGAGAGTGTCGGTATATGACGTTGCTTGCCAGAGAGGTAGCTTGCGACACGAGCTTGGCCAAGGCAGCCATGACCCCCCGACGAGACACCTCGCGTACTGTAATCCGTAAGGGCTTCGCCCCCATGCCGCCGGCCCCCCTCTCTTAGAATGGAACTTGCCAGAGCTGTGCTGGGATGTCTGGACGCTGACGTGAAGCAATGTCGGGATTTCACGCGAGGGCAAATATTAACTGACGAGGATGTATGGCTTCGGTGGCGCGATAGTAAGTAATTTACAATGGTTTATGGCTTCGGGGACCCGAGTATCGCGTAATGTCTGAGGGGGTGTGGCCTCTGGGACGCAAAGATTATGTAATGTATGAGGGTGTATGGCCTCGGGGGCGCAACTATCGTATAATGTACGATGATTTACGGCCTCGGGGACGCGAATATGATGTAATTTGCAACTTGTGGCCTCGGGGACGCAAGCATTGTGTAATGTACGAGGGTTGATGGCCCTGGGAACGCGAATATTGTATCATTTTCGACGGTTATGACATCGGGGGCGCAAATATTCGGTGATTTGAAAAAAGGTTCATGGCTTCGGGGGCGCGACTATTGCGTACATGCGAGGGTTTATGCATTCGGAGACGCGAATATTGTAAAAGATTCTGGTTTCGGGGACGCGAATATTGCTTAAGTTAGGAGGGTGTATGGCCTCTGGGACGCGAAAATTGTGTAATTTACCAAGGGTTATGGCCTCGGGGATGCGAATATCAAGTATTGTTACGTGCCCCACGACCCCCCAGGAATTCAGACAACGCAATTCGGGGGACGCTAGCCAGGACGCTTTTCGGCTCCCCCCCCTCGCGCGTTCAGCAACAATTAAGGGTAAGGAAGCAGAAAGCAGGACTGTAAGAGTGGAAACTGGAAACTGCAATTGGTACAGGGAGCTGCACGCCTAATCTTCGCAGCCTGATGGCCCCGCAAGGGGGCCGGTTTTGATTAGAGCATTGTGGTCTCCGTCTTCCTCCGTCTCCTCTTCTTCCTCCTCCTCCTCCTCCTCCTCGTCTCCTCCTCCTCGTCTCCTCCTCCTCCTCCTCCTTCTCCTCGTCTCCTCCCTCCCCCTGCCTCCTGCCTCCTTGTCTTTATTCCTCCTTCCTTTCCTACGGGGGGCTGCGAACTTCGCAACCGTCGCCACTTTCGTTGGAGCTGCGGACTGCGCAGCTGTCGCCACCTCCGTGGGCTCCTGGAAGGTCCAGCAGAGTGGGTGGTCACGCGGACCCCTCCGGTACCTCGCGGCTCCGTGGGGGGCGGCGACTTGCGCACCTGTCGCCACCTGCGTACGCTCCGGGGAGGTTCAGCGGAGAGGGTGTAGGGTATAGTCACGCAGACCCCTGCGGTCCGGAGGCTTACCTCGGGTTTCCTCAGGGGTCCGATGGTCGGGAGCGAACGAAGGACGCACACGTACATGGATCCACGTTGGTCTCGAGAGTACGTCTTGCGGCGATCGTTCGTATCATGCGGCCAGTCTCGCGGGCTTGTGGAGTCTAAAAGCCGGATAGCGGAGTGCCAGAAAGGCTTTCCGACAGCTTGTGGAGAGAGCTTTGGAAGCTCCTTGAAGGAGCTTCGGAGGAGCATTTGGCTAGCTTCCGGGCAAACGTATTGGGACATGTTTAGAAAAGACATGCCAGAACACGCTAAAAGCTCACAGGAGGCGCAGCGGCGCTGGAAAGCGGAAGCCAGAACGAGCTCTCGAGCCACCCTGCCGTGCCCGTTTCTCATCTGAACCTCTCTTGGCTCTCAGAGAACTATCCTGGACTTGGGAATTGGGGGGCTGTGTTCATGTACGTGGTTGGGTGGGCGCGTGCGTCCCTTTGCTCACCACCCACCAAACCATCCCAAATCCAACACGAAAACCTCAATTTGCCCTCCATTTCCAGTGGGGGGGTCGGTCGGGGAACATTGAAAAAACGCATAGAACTCGTAACCCCCCCAACCCGAAATTCAGGTCAAGTTCGGGTCTTCGGGTTGGGTTGGGGTGGTCTGGTAGGTAGTCATCTGTGAGCTCCCTGGACGGAGAAGCCCGGGCGCGTCCAGAACCTGGGCCCTCGACCTTCGAGCCTCGGCATGTCCCGCGCGTGTCCCCCGCCCCCCGCGTCAGAACGAAGTCTCGAAGCTCCTGAAGATCTACGACGCCATCCGGGTGGATCCCGGGGAGGAGGAGGGAGGAAGGAGAGGAGGAGGAGGAGGAGAAGGAGGAGGAGGAGAAGGAGGAGGAGGCGGAGGGAGGAGGAGGAGGAGGAGGAGGAGGAGGAGGAGGAGGAGGAGGGAAGAGGATGATGAGGAGGAAGAGGAGGAGGAGCCGCCCTCAGACTTCCAGAGTCCACGTTGGTGACAGGACCGCCGACCGGAAGCACAGGATAAAGTTCATCACGTAAAGTATCCAAGGCGGCCGTTGCCACAGCGCCGTGCGAGAACTTACCACCAAGAGTACAGTTGTGAACTTCCAATACACATATTGAGGAAAGACGGGTCAGGTACCTGACAAACCACGAGTACCACGGGAAGAGTCCCGCCATTGGGTCACAAACTTGGCGTGCAATCCGCGATAACAGTAGCTTGGTCCGCCAGCAAAGCAAGGTAAGGTTGCACCCCTGCACGTACCACTATTGGTAAGTCATGGCGCGCGGCGCACGGTTTCCAAAATCTTGGCCGCTGATCCGAACTCGCACGCCGCAATCTCATCCAAATGTTGCTGGACACTCCGGTTTTGGCGTCACTGTCAGAAGTTTGCTTCTTCTGATTTGTCTTCTCGTAATCATTCCTGGCACGAGGGCGGGGTTCGTCTCCTGGCCTCGCACCCTGCGCTCTCTCCATGTTCGCGGCTTTGGACTCGCTGGCCGCATCCATGGAGAGCGCAGCCCCGCGGCCGCTGTCGTTGAAGTACCCTTGCGGTGGCGGCTCGGCCTCCACAGCTGATCCATCCAGATCACTGGAAGAGATACCATCGACATCGGACTTGAGGGCAGCATTCTCGTGGACCCCTTGCTTGTCGTGAGCGGGAGTCGGGAAGAGGGGGATTGGCCGAACCGCATCGAGGTTCATCTCCTCAGGAATCGTACCTATATCTCCGATGTAGCGATATTCCCTTGGCGTCGGTCTGTGCGTCCCTCCCCCGCCCTCTCCACAGCCGCCGCTGGCTCCGGACAGAGGCTGCTGGATGACAAGGGGGACGATGGGGTCCCCCGCTTTGCCGCCGCTGGCACGGGCGAGGGAGGTGTTGGCGGCGGCGGCGGGCTTCCTGGCGGCGTGGAGTGGCTGGGCGACGCGGACTCTGGACCTCCGCCCGTCGCTGTGAGCGCGCCGCCGCCTTCTCCCGCTCCGTCCACCATGGGGGGGGGGGAGCGACTCGGGCGCGTGACCTCCACCAGTCGCTCCGAGCTCGCCGGTGGCGCCCTCCTTTGCCGCCCCCTCTGGCTCTGCACCGGTTTCGGCTCATACATCCGGCGAGCCTCCTCCTTGAAGGGCCTCGGAATGGACGGGCTGCGCCGGCGCCGGCAGTCCTGTGCTTTCTCCTCCTTCTTCTCCTGGATCTGCATTCGGAGCTGCTGCCGCTCTTGCCTCAACTTGTGAACCTCCTGATCCTTCTCCACCAGCGTCTGTTTTAGTAGCGCCAAGCGCTGCTGTTCCTTCAGCTGCTGTTCCATGCCGTGGATGTTGTCTTGCTGTAGCTGCAGCTCTAGCTGCAACTGCTTCTCGCGCTGCTTCTCCTGCTCGATCTGGCACCTCATGTCCTGGACCTGGCACGTGAGGTCCCGGAGCTGGCGGAGGCGCTGGTGGCGGCTGCCTTTGCTCCGAGACCCTGAGCTCCTCACACTCGGGGACAGGCCCAGCCTGCCCGGCGGGTGCGATCGAGAGCGGGAGCGCTGCCGCGACCTGAGTCTTGAGCGCGCCGTCATGGCGCTCCCAAAAGCCGGCAATAACCGCGTCAGCGGTACTCTACCCCAAAACATGTGAAGTCAGCGAAGCCACTCGCGACTCGGTCACCACGACCGGTGTAGCGCTAATGCGCTGCGTACTGTAGTGTTGACCCCGTCTTGCCACCGCGCCACAGCGATGGACCTCAAGCCACAGCGACTCCCAGGAGGAGGAGGAGGAGGAGGAGGAGGAGGAGGAGGAGGAGGAGGAGGAGGAGGAGGAGAGGAGGAGGAGGCGGAGGAGGAGGAGGAGAAAGGAGGGGGTAGGAGTAGGAGGAGTAGGAGGAGGGAGAGGAGGAGGAGGGAGCGGAGGAGGAGTAGCAGGAGGAGGGAGGCGGAGGAGGAGTAGCAGGAGGAGGGAGCGGAGGAGGAGGAGGAGGAGGAGGAGGAGGAGGAGGAGGAGGAGGAGGGCGAGGGCGAGGACGAGGGCGCGGGGCAGGCGAGCCGAGCGGAGCGCGGGGTGCGGACGCGGAGGAGGGCGGCGGCGGTGGTCTGGTCGGGAGCACGGCGTCGGCTTAGTGCCTCGCTGCAGCGCTGGGACACTTGCACACGCTCCTCGACTGCGCAGCACGGGGCCTTGCCTTAAGTCGGGCCTGTCCTTCTACAGGAGGAATATGCAAACATAGTTCAAACAAATATTGTAGAAACGATTTCTCGAGTATGTTTGAATGTGTTTTGGGTATTGTTTGACTATGTTATAATTGTTCGTCCAAAATCCGCCTGTAGGGGGACGCGACCGACCTAAGCCTTGCCCCTGGAGGGGGTGGGGCACTCGCGCGCTCTTCGGCAGGCAGCAGCTCGGACACGGGAGGGGGAGGAGGGGCGAGGAGCGGGAGGAAGGGCGGAGGGGAGGAGGATGGATTTGGCCCGGCCTCCAGAGCCTCCTCATCCTCCTGCTCCTCCTCCTCCTCCTCCTCCTCCTCCTGCTCCTCCTCCCCCATTCTCCCCCCCCTCCTCCTCCTCCTCCTCCTCCTCCTCCTCCTCCTCCTCCTCCTCCTCCTCCTCCTCCTCATCCGCTCCCTCCTCATGCTACGTCTCCGCCTCCTCCCCCTCCTCTCCCTTCTTCTCCTCCTCCCTCCTCCTCCTCCTCCTCCTCCTCCTCTCTCCTCCTCCTCCTCCTCCCTCCTCCTCATCATCATCATCATCATCATCATCATCATCATCATCATCATCCATCCCTCCTCATGCTACTTCTCCGCCTCCTCCCCTCCTCTCCGTCCTCCTTCCTCCTCCTCCTCCTCCTCCTCCTCCTCCTCCTCCTCCTCTCGTCCTCCCTCCTCCTCCTCTCCTCCTCCTCCTCCCTCCTCCTCCTCCTCCTCCTCCTCCTCCTCCTCCTCCTCCTCCTCCTCCTCCTCTCCCTCCTCCTCCTCCTCCTCCTCCTCCTCCTCCTCCTCCTCCTCCAATGTTGGTTGTCTTTAGGGCTCACCTCGACGCCTGCGATTCGATTCGACCGATTCGATGTCGATGGTTTCCGATTCCGCCTCGGTTCGACTTCGGATTCCGATTAGGATCCCGATTTCTCGACGGAGGCCTACTGGCCTGCCGACCTCTGGCGATTTGATTTCTTCCGACTCGGCTGCCGATTTCCGCCGATCCGATGCGTTTCGATCGCCGATCCGACTTTGCGATTCGATTCTCGACTCTCCTGCAAAGTGGAGAACCCAGAGCGAAGTGCACCCGGAAGAGCATTGTCTTCCTCGTACGGATTACGCTCCGTGGTCTGAAGCGCCATCCGCTGCCGCGGCGGCTTTGAGCCAATTCGTGGTTCACGGAGGCACAGTTTGAAGACACAAAGTACAAGTCTCCATATGAGTACACTTACGTTCATGAACGGAAGAGCCGTGTTCGGCGACGGGGCCTGGAGAGAAGAGGGAAGACGCACGGGAGCACAGGGACGGACGACGAGTGGGGACGAGAGGCCGAGGCCGAGGGGAGAGAGGGAGACGAACGACGAGAGGGGCGACCGAGGACGCACGAGCATACATGTGAACAATTTGCAGTCGTGATTTGACCCTGAATGTTCTAGGAAAACCTGGGTGGACCTCCTGGGGACACCCCCATCAAAGGAAATCTGTTCCTTTCGGTTCGATCAGGAATTGGGTCGATTCACCCTGGTCGGCGAGCTTGCAGAGCCCCCGCCTGAAGCAACGCAGGCAGTACATCCACATTGAAGGAGTGAGGATGGAATGATGCAATTTGTTTTTGCTGTGGGGCAGTGCGTTAGCAGGCTAGAGTCAGGAGGCATACGCGATGTTCCAGCCCACGACACGCGACAGAAAGCACGAGCAAAAGCAACTTGCCGGCGCAGCCTTTTTTGTGGGCAGGACGAAGACGACGCCGAGACCACCAGGCCTGTACACCGCATCTGCCGTCGCACTGCATCCTCATCACCTTCCTCGTCCTGCGACTCCTCGTCTTTTTCATCCTCCTACGTACTCCTTCTCTCCATCCTCCTCCCTCCTGCTCCAGGGCCGCCCCTGCCGAGCAACTCAGTCGAGAGCTAGTTCGAGCACCTGATGCTCCAGCTCACAGTTGCAATGATATTCTTCATCCTCCCTTTCTCCTGCATCTCCTCCTTCTCCTCCGTTTCCTCCTCCTCCTCCACCTTCCCTCGTCCTGCCCCTCCCTCCCTCGGGTATCGATCACAACGATCTTGTGTTGCAGGTCTGCACGGTCCTGAAGCGTAAGGCTTGCGTGATCCTGGAGTGCGTTGCCCTGCAGGTGGAAATTTGCAGGCGCTTCGATAAGCAGCCCGCCGATTTCGTGAGCAGGTGCAACAGGTGGATCGAGGCAGATGTTCGTGCCCGCTTTCATCGCCGGAGATTTGCCGAGGGAACGTGGTCTTGCGCCCAGTGCCGTGGGCATGTCAAGGACACGACCCCCTCGCTCCGCGCTCGGCTCTCTTCCACTTGCCTTGCCACTTTGGGGGAGGGGATGGAGTCGGGTGTGCGTGAGCATGCGCACGTGCGTGCGTGCGTGCGTGCGTGCGTGCGTGCGTGCGTGCGTGCGTGCGTGCGTGCGTGCGTGTGGTGTGAGAGAGAGAGAGAGAGAGAATATTTCCCTTTCTTTCCCCCGTGCATCGCGGCTTAATTCGCATACGCACATCCTACTTCTGCTCCTCCGCCAGCGCAGTCACTCTGCCTAGCCGCCTTCGCACATTGTGTGTGTGTTGTGGGGGGGGGGGTCGGGGGGGAGTCTCTCTGTCATCACAAGAGGTGGGCTCTTCGAGGCAGGCTCCAGAGATGACGACCTTCTCGGGGGATCCCTCCCGCTCGCACCCAGACCAGCCCGAATCTACATGTGCTCTTCTGGTCGCGGGCCAGGCGGCGCGCCCCTCTCCCGTGCTCTGGGCCAACAGTTGGCCTCCCTTCGGTGGCGGGTGCGCGTCCCGCGTCGTCCGCTCACCCGGCCTCTGCCCGAGGGCGCGCTGCTCGGCTGCCCTGGCTCGGGCCCCCCTGCCGTCACCAAGGCTCCGCTGGAAGTGCTGCAGCGCTGGCGCAGGGGCTCTCCCCCCTGGCAAGAAATTACGAGCAAGCTTTCTGCGGCGGAGGAAGAGGAGGAGGAGGAGGAAGAGACGTTTCCTGACGAGCCAGGGGAGGAGGAGTCTTTGTTCAGTAAAGAGCAGGCGGCAGCTCCCTCCTCGCGGGCTGCCACCATGTGTCCGTGCCCTTTCGGGGGTGGCGCCAGCTCCCAGGCAGGAGGAGGAGGAGCAACCGCTCGTCCGACGTTTTCCGGAGACTCCCGGTGCGAACCCTCCGATCGAATATCCCGACCCGGCGGCCAGTCCCTGGCAGTTCTCTGCCCCTGGAGCCTGGCTGCCAACGGTGCACCGCAAAAGAACCCCTCCATCCTTCGTCCTGTTTCTCTCTCCTCCATCCTTTCTCTCTCCTCCCTCCCTGCCTTCTCCTCCGTTTTCCTGCGCCCTCCTCACTCCCCGTTCCTCCTCATCCGTCCTTCCTCGGCCTCCCCGCTTCGCTTCTTCAGCACTCCGCCGTGCCAAGCGTGTGCAGATTGCTGGCCGCCGCGGCCACCTCGTTTTCTGCCATGCTGCTGCCCTGCCAAGTTTCCCCTCTTGGATGGCACTCCTGTTCGCAGGGAGGAGGGAGTGAGGGAGGCATGTCTCGCATGTCGGCAGACGGGAGGGCATGTAAAATCTGGCAGACGGGAGTCTCGCATGTCTTCCGAGCAGGGCGCCCGTACACCACCACCACCATGCCTGGCCAGGGCCCTAGGATTGAAGAAGAACGCATAGCATGAACATAAACTTTCTGCGATCCGCGCGGACTACTGCTGAAAGTTTCTGGTTATGCCGTGGCCACCACCAGGCAGGCCCCAGATGGCCCCGGCCAGGTGGTGGGTGGTGCGCATGGGTCTTCTGCGTGGGTCCGCTCGCAGGCCCGTCCGTCCCGCCGGGGCGTCCACGAACTTCCAGATCAAGTTGCCCAGCACGGTCGAGGACTACTCCGAGGACGAGGACGACGACGACGAGGACGACCAGCGGCCCTTCACGCGCGACGAGCTCAAGATCAAGGAGGGGGGGTGGGGGGCGTTCTGCCCAGAGTGCCCAGGCCTCTGGCGGATGTCCAGGCTCCATCGTTTCATCCTGAGTCGTATTCGTTTGAGGTCGTTCATCCTGAGTTTCACCCTGACCTTCAGGCTTCGGAAGACATCAGCGGACACTCATGCCGCGCTCCTCTGTCAATGCCCCCCCTCAATGGTCCATGCTGGCGGTGGGTGGAATGAGCTGCCATTCGACCGCAGTCGTCCCCGCGCGTGCCAACTTTGAGTTTGGGGGGAGCGGGGGATGTGTCCAATGATTTCGGCCACGCGCAGGGGGGGGTAGGGGTAGGGGGGAAGGCTTCTTAGAAGCACCCCTGCTTCTCAGAATGCGCGGGCCTCGTCTTTGGATGTAAGGCCGCGCCGTCTAAGAAGCAGCCTCCTTCTAAGAAGCCTTCCCCCCTCCCCCTATTCCCTGGTGCACGCCGCCAATAATTGTTTCCTTCTACCGTTTCACCCCTCTGGGTCCAACGTTTATCATGACGGCCCCGCTGTACCCGGTGCTGGGAGCCCCACGAGATCTGTTTTGTTCCATCGGGGTGAGGTTCTGGTTTCTCCCACCACCACCACCACCACCACCACCACCACCACCACCACCCCGCAGGAACAAACAGGCACGATGGAGTGACCGAGGATCACGTTTTTGCGTCGGCGGCGAGGCAGGGGAAGTCCGCTCTAGCGGAAAGGCCTTAACGGGGGTGCCGTTATGGCGAATTGTTCAGGCGATCGCAAACATGGATCGAGGGGGCGTGGATTAGCGAGGGGTCCCGTTTCCATGGGAGGTCGCGGATTCCCGCCGCCGAGCGAGGCGGCGCCGGCCGCATTTTGGGTAGGGCGCCTCCCCCGATCCATGGATTTGGCGACCGCGCGCCAAAGCCATGGAGCGCTGATCCATGCTTGCGTGCCCCCGAGTTGTGGTGGCCGAGGCTGAGAGGGTCAGTTGGAAGCCTCGGGCGAGCAGAGAGGTTCGCTTGCGACTCAGGCAGAAGGCCAGGACGATACGCTGTTGCTGCGTTATGTTACCCTGTGGGTGGGCCCGAACCCAATCTACTTGATCCGCCTTCCTACTTCATGTTTCTACCTACTTCTTCCGACGATGGATACCCCGCATCAGATTCGGGGCCAACAGAAAACGGGCATGGTGGAGTGACCGAGGATCACACGGTAATTGAGTTTGAAGCCTCGGGCGAGCAGAGAGGTGCGCCCGACGCGCGGGCAGAAGGCCAGAAGGCCGCCTTGCCGGCACGCCTGGTGAAGCGATGGGGACGGGCTCTTTCGCAAGGGGCAGAAGTGGAAGAGGCAGGGGAGCTGGTGAAAGAGTAGGACGACAAGGAGGAGGAGGAGGAGGAGGAGGAGGAGGAGGAGGTGGAGGGGGAGGAGGAGGAGAGAAGAGGGAAAAAAAGGAGGAGGAGGAGAAACAACAAAGGAGGAGGAAGATAAAGAGGAAAGAAGGAGGGGGAAAAGATAGGAGGATAAAAAACAACAAGGAGGAGGAGAAGCAACAAAGAAGAAGAGGAGGAGAAAGGAGGAGGAGAAAGAAGAGGAGGAGGAGGGGGAGGAGGAGGAGGAGGAGGAGGAGGAGAGGGAGGAGGAGGAGGAGGAAGAGGAGGAGGAGGAGGAGGAGGAGAAACAGGAGGAGGAGAAGGAGGAGAAGGAGGAGGAGGAGGGGGAGGAGCGAAGACGGAGGATGATGGGGAGGCAGGCGCGGGGGAGGTGGAGCTGAGGAGAAGGAGAGGGAAGGAGATCAGGAGGAGGGAGGAGCGGATGATGAGTGAGATACCAGGAGGAAGGATATCAGGAGAAGGGAGAATATGGATGATGCGAGGAGGAAGGATCTCAGGAGGAGGAAGGATATCGTGAGGATCAGAGTGAGGATGATGAGGATGATTGTCAGGGCTTACGTCTTGCTGCGTCAGCGGGACCCCCACTGTTCTCATTACATTGTTGCATCCGGGACCCGAGAGTTCGGCATTTCCTTCCTGACGCGTCCATTGTTGTTACCACTCGTCTTGCCATGTATCCACAGCGCTTCGCGGCACCGATGATGCCTGTGCTCTCGGGGACCGACGAGGGGCCGCATTCAGACTGTCGTGGGCCGGTTGGGCGCACTGGGGCGCGTTTAGGCTTTGCCTGAGTTTTCGAAGCTGCTTGATCGCGTCCCAATCTGAGAGTACTGGGTCCCAGGGCTTGAGCTGAACAGCGCTTTTGGCGATTTCGTGGGCCGCTTTCGTTTTGATTCCTCTCGCTTCGCGGGGTGCACGTCCAGAGCACGTACAATCCAATCTTTGTGAGGCCTCCTGGGAACGCCCCAGGGGCCCAAGTTAGACATTCTCCTCATGTTGTTGTCGGTTTTGGAGCCCACATGGGGTCCTCTACTTTCGGGTCGACGGAAGTGGCGTGGCCTCGCGGGGTGGGGGGTAGTGGGGCTTGCAGCATCGACATAGCACAATGATGCAACTTGTAGCAATTATGTAATAATTGGGCATTGGATACGCAGCATTTCAGCATCCGCGGAAACGTTGCCGCTCAGCACGTCGCCTCGGGACGTGGATTCCTCTCGCTTCGCGGAGTACACGTCCGGAGCACTTACAGACCAGTCGTTGCGGGGCCTGGTGGGGGCCTTTCGGGAGCCTCTTGGAGCTTCGTGGGCCTCTTGGGGGCTTTTTTGGAGCCGCTTGGGGCCTCTTGCGGGCGTCGTGGACCGTCTTGGGGCGCCCTTGCACAGTTGGGCCCCTTCGGGATCCATTCCGTGCGCCTTTCGCGATCGCATTGGGGCCTCTCTTGAGATCTTCTTGGGCTGTCTTGGGGGCCTCTTTGGGCCGTCTTGGGGCCCTCGTGGGCCGTGTTGGGGTCATTTTAGAGTCTGCTTGGGTAGTCTTGGGCCCTTTGGATTCTGCCTGGTCCGTCATGGGCCTCTGGGAGCCGAAAAAGGCGAGAACGCTAAACTTATTTTCAAACACAGAATGACAAGCAATGTTTTTCTCCCCACATCCTAAGTAGGGTTCTTGTTTTTTCTGGACACCCCGCGCAGTCCTCATCCACACCCTGTCCTCTCCACACATATACACTCGTCATCACCATCACCATCGTCACCACCAGCATCATGCATCATTATTATTATTATCATCATCATTAGCATCGGCATCAGCATCAATATGTTTATCATCACTCAGTCCCTAACTCCCTCACCCACCCATCATCATCACCATCATTATCGACATCACTCCCACACTCATTCACACACACACAAGCACACTCGCACAAGCACACTCACAGACTCACACAGTCACATACACTCATACATTCATCTTGGAAAATCTATGGCGGGGGGGGGCCGTCCCTATGGGGCCCGCGCTTCATGTTGGCAATCGGAGCGGGTCATCCAAACCATGTGACGGTCGTCACTTTTGGGTCCCTCACGCTTGAATTTTGAAGAAGCCTCAGGCGGGAGCCTCGTTTGTGGGTGAATTGTGAGGTGGTCTCAGGCGGGAGCCCCCTCCCTATGGGGCCCGCTTTTCAGATTGCCAATCGGAGCGGATCATCTGAACCTTCTAAGTGCCATCATTGTTTGGGCCCCTCGCGCTTGAATGCTGAAGACGCCTCAGGCGGGAGCCCCCTCCCTAGGGGCCCCGCGATTCATGATGGCAATCGGATCGGGCCATCCAAACCTTGTAAATGTCGTCACTTTTGGGCCCCTCACGCCTGAATTTTGAAGAAGCTTCAGGCGGGAGCCTCGTTTGTGAGTGAATTGCGAGGTGGTCTCAGGCGGGAGCCCCCTCCCTATGGGGCCCGCATTTCAGATTGGCAATCGGAACGGAGCGGGTCACCTAAACCGTGTAACTGTCATCAGTTGTGGGCCCCTCGCGCCTGAATTTCGAAGACGCCTTAGGCGGGAGCTTCCTGTGTGAGTGAATTGCGAGGAATTCTCAGGCGGGAGCCCCCTCCCTATGAGCCAGCGCCTCATGTTGAAATCGGAGTGGGCCAGCCAAACCTGTGTAATTGTCGTCAGTAGTGGGCCCCTCGAACCTGAATTTCGAAGAAGCCTCAGGTGGGAGCCTGACTTGTACGTTAATTGCGAGGAGGTCTCAGGCGTGGGTTCCCTCCCTATGGGGCCCGCATTTTATGTAGGCAATCGGAGCGGATCATCTGAACTTTCTGAGTGTCTTAACTGTTGGGTCCCTCTCGCTCGATTATTGAAGAAACTTCAGGCGGAAACTTCGTGCGTGAGTGCATTCGAGGATGTCTCAGGCAGGAGCCCCCTCATGGGGCCCGCGCTTCATGTTGGCAATCGAAGTGGGCCATCCAAACCTTATAACTGTCTTGACTGTTGGGCCCCTCGCGCTTGAATTCCGAAGAAGCTTCAGGCGGGAACCTCGTTTGTGAGCGAATTGCGAGGAGGTCTCAGGCGTGAGCCCGTTCCCTATGGGCCCGCGCTGCATGTTGATAGTCCGAACGGGTCATGCGAAACCTAAGCCTGTCGCCAATTTGTTGATTCCCCAGCAAGGCTTGAATCTTGAGGAAGTCTCAGGCGGAAGTCCCGTCCGTGAGTGAGTCGCGAGGAAGTCGCTATGGGTAGCGCAACTCCATGTTAGAATCCGAACGTGTCCTCGGGATGTCGTAGCTGTCTTCATTGTTGGGCTACTCCGGAACAAAGTGTGATGCGAGCCCTCGCGGGCCAATCCGAGCGGGGTAATTCTTTGGCTCTTAAGAGCGCCACGCGCTCGGCTGAACCCAGTCCCCCGACGCGACGAGGGCGTCACCATCGATTGCACCAGGGATGAGGACGTTCGTCGCACGGGCATGTCGGCCGAGCAGTGGTGGCTGCACCTCTTCGTCATGTTTTTCCGCGCCACGCGCATGCGGAACGTACTGATCTTGCGGCCGCCCACGCGAGAGTTCCTGGAGCGCGGGCCGCCGGCGTCGCAGCGCAAGGCGCTTCAGAAGTTCGACGAGGCAGCGGCGAGCTCCCAAACCGAGGCGGAGCAGCTCGCAGCACGTCTGGGCTTCAGGCGTTGCCCCCCCGCCCGAACGCGGCCGCGCCCACTTCGAGGCCCGCGGGGTTGCCCCAAGAGCCTGGCCCGCGGGGCTGTCCCGACGGCCCGCCCCCGCGCCCCAGCGGCCCGCGGTGAGGAGAGGCCAGAGCAGAGGGCGGGAGGGGGGCATCCGCCAGGGCGAAGATGAAAAAAGGCCAGGGGCAAGCTGAACATTTTCCCATGTAGGTTCCTACCGTCGGAGTAGTGGCGTGTGGATGTGTTCGGGTGCCCCCTTGGGGTCCTCCAGGGCCGTCTTGGGGCCCCGCGAGCCCTTTCGGGGTCATCCTGAGCGATTCGGGGACAATTTTTGCCGTGATGGGGGCCATGTTAAGCCGTTTGGAGGCCTTCTTGGACCCCAAAGAAGCCAAAGAGGCAACAACCGTGTGTGTATATAGATACACACACACACATATATATATATATATATATATATATGGTTTTGCTATTTTGTTGGCCCCTGAAAGGGGAGGGGGCGTCCTGGTTGGCGGAGGTGGCGTGCCTTCGGGGGGGCATAAAAGAGGGATGCATACTGATGTCACAGAATGCAACACGTACTGTTGTGCATATTGAAATGGTACAATCATTCGATATATCCGGCACGTGCGTTGCAGCATCCGCGGACGTGGTCCCTGGAAACGCGCGGGAAACGCGTCACGTTCGGATGTCGATTCCTCTCGCCTCGCGGGGTGTACGTCCAGAGCGCGTAAAAAATATGTGTTGGGTGGTTTGCCGCGAAGTTTTGCCGCGTTATTCTGCCCGCCCCGGGACGTTGCCAGTGCCGCGGGGGGCGGATGCGCCCCCGCCCCCCCCCGCTTCAGCGCCAGGACGAGCTGCCCTAGGCCATCTTAGGAACTCGCGCTCTCTGTTGGGACTGTACTTATGATCTTCGCAGGCTTCGCTATTTGGGGGGATTCGTGGCCTCGGGCCAAAAACTTCATATTTTATCAAAAACCACGTTGCCCCGAATAGACTGTATGGCGGCCTCTGCGTGGGCGGCGCGCTTCTGTTGCAAATTGTTTTCACACGTTGCACATTGCCGGGGGGCCGGCGTAGGTGTCATTCTGAAGTCCAGTACCAGGAATCGTTCATTGTCACGAGCAACCAGCCTACCGATTGTATTGATTGGACAGACATGGGTTTGCACACATGCGTCAGCCCTGGTAGCTCCTCCCCCTCCTGCTCCTCCTCCTCCTTCTCCTCCTCCTCCCCTTCCTCCTCCTCCGCCTCCCTCCCACCATTCCTCCTCCCCTGCTGCCTCCTGTCTCCCTTTTCCTTTTCCTCCCTCCTCCCCTCCTCTCCACTTCCACTCCCCATCCAACCTGCTGTTTCCTCCTCATCGTCCTCCTCGTCCTCCTCCACCTCCTCAACCTCCTCCACCTCCTTCTCCTTCTCTTCCATCTCCTTCTCCACCTCGAATGTTCCAGCTTGCTTGGCCCTGTTGGGCCTCAAAAAGCTTCCAGGGCACTGGGGAAGACGAAGACGCTGAGGGGAGGGAAGAAAAGACCCCTGTGCATTTGCACCGTCGCACTCCTTTTTCCCAGCGAAGTACGTATGTTGTTCCGTTCTCCAGCGTTTTTTTGCGCCACACGTGTAACCGCCTGGCATGAAGGCATCGGAGGAGGAGGAGGAGGGGAGGAGGAGGAGGAGGAGGATGAGGAAGGGGAGGAGGTGGAAGAGGGCTGGGGAGCAGCAGTCGTTGGTCGATCGTTAGGCTGGTCGCGTGGGCCGATGCGAGGGCGCCCGCGGGGAGACGAAAAAGCAGCAAGAAGCACGAAGAAACAAGAAGTCGCGCAACATGAAGGGCGGCGCGGCGGGCGAGAAGTGAGAAGTGACGCGGGGTGGCTGCGTCGAGCGTTGCCTTGTGGTTTTCCGTTGTGTCCCTGCCAGTCGTCGCGTTGTGTGCGCTCTGCCTTTTTTTGTTTCTCTCTCTCTCTCTCTCTCATTGTCAATCTCTTCAGTGGCTGATCCTTCAGGGACCGCCACTATCCCCGCATGCCTTCGCATATCGCATCTGAAGCGCAGCTTGTCTGCTGCCTCAGTGCGGATCTCACCTTAGGAGGATGCCAACTGTACACCAACACCAGTCTTGGCCAGTCCATTGCACGGCCTGGGATCGGTGCATATGCCCTCCTGTCCAAGAGAAGAGGGTGTGTGCATCGGTACGACCAGCACCAGCACACATATGTGCATACATAGTTGGCATCCTTCTATCACTTGATGTTGAGATGGGCTTCCGAATTCCATCAGACGGCACTGAAGTATTGTGCTCTGAGGTCTCTGCGGCCTCTCTTTCGACAAGGTTGTAAGAAACTTGGACTGGCCTCGCACAGTGCTGCCTTGAAAAAGCGCAGGCGTCGAATGGGTCTCATGGTCTCATGACCGCAGCCTGCGCATGTGGTCGGTGCTTCAGAGCCCTTGCGGTCCACGGAGCATGCCGTCCTCCCTTCGCCTCCTCTTGGGAGGGGGGAGGGACTGGAAGGAGGGAGGGAGGAAGGGAGAGGGGAGGAGGAGGAGGAGGAGGAGGAGGAGGAGGAGGAGGAGGAGGAGGAGGAGGAGCAGTGCAAGGTTCCCGCTCTGCAGCGGACAGCTTGCCCTGCACCACGGCCCGGGGCAGCCGCTGCCCCCCTGCAGTATTCTCTCTCCCCGCCCGTGCACACTACTTGGAGCGTTCGCGAGCACGGACTCGGTGGCAAATCATGGGGGCCCGGTATACCCCTGTCATTCCGTCCCTACCGTCGGTGAGCGTCGTCCAGCGATTCGAGTCGACGAGATAGCGCCGATCTAGCGCCGGTCAGCGTCCATTAGCGTCGATGCAGCGTCGACTAGCGTCGATTCAGCGTCGACTAGCGCCGTTTCGCAAGAGCCGACAAGATGGAGGGGGTTCACTTCGTTCGGGAGCCCCCGAGCGGAGTGACCCCCCCCCCCCAAGAACTCTTGGGGGGGCGGTGGCAGGGTTCACATGTGGCCACCTACTGTCTGTCACTCAGGTGAGGCAAGAAGCCGAGATGCCCCAGCGTTGCAGCGCCTGCGAGCCCCGGAATGCGTCGGACGCCAAGGTGTTCCAGGTCCCCGGAACAGTCGCCTTACTCCAAATCCTTTATTCATTGTCCCCCGGGTCGGGTTTTTTCAGGCGCCTTTTTTGTAACTGGGGGGGTCTGGTTTATTAGGGCGTCTTCTGTGGATTGGAGCTTAGGGGGTCCAGTTTATTAAGGCGCCCCGTCGACGAGGGGGGTCCGGTCAGGAATATCAGGGCGCATTTGGACGGGGGTCCAGTCTGGTTTTTTAGGGGGGGCATCGATTAGTAAGGGATTGGGAGTAGTCTTCCAGCACTCCCGGGCGGCCCAGGGTCCGAGGCTGGAGCGCGAGGCGGCCCAGCCACGGGCGGGCACTGGGCGAACAAAAAAAATCGCAGGGGCCAGCCAGCCCACGAGGCTGGCACGAGGCGCGCGCCTGCGGGTCCTGTCCGGAAGCCCCGGGCACGCACCCAAGGAACGGTAGGCTCGTGTCGCGCCGACCAGCGGCGGCCCCGCCAGCGGCGTTCACCGTTGCACGCCGCGGGCGACCAACATAATCCTTCGGTGCGGAACCGTCCCGGCCGCCCAGCGCGCACCTTGGACATGAGCGCGCTCGCACGCGCGCGCAGCAGCATGCAGCTGCACACGCAGGCACCGAGACACAGGCATACGGCCACAGCCGCACACGCAGGTACACGCAAACGCATGCGCACACGTGCACGTGCAAACCCGTATGCACACCGTGTTCCCTCGGCCGCCCGCCCCCCCAGTGCACGCCCGGCACGCGCGCCATGCGCTTCCCCCCCCCCCGCCCAGCCCGCCCAGCACACGCCAGCCGCATGGCGCCGCAAACGCAGGCACACATACACAGGCACACGCGCACGGCCGCACACACACACACACACACACACACACACACACACACACACACACACACGCACGCACGCACGCACGCACGCACGCACGCACGCACGCACGCACGCACGCACGCACGCACGCACGCACGCACGCACGCACGCACGCACGCACGCACGCACGCACGCACGCACGCACGCACACAAACACGACGCACACACCGAACACACCTGGTGCACACATGCACATGCACGCGGGCTCGTGCACAGGCTGCGCGCAGCAACTGACCAAAGCAACCACGGGCAACCACTAGACGCAGGAAGCTGGCAAGCATCTGGGCATTCAGTGACACCCAGCGACGGTACCCTATGTGCGCCCAGTCAGCGTTGTGTGCAGATCCGTGCGCGCGCACGCAAGCTCAGATGAGCGGCGCTTCCCGTTCTTGTCCGGATATGTTCCCTTCTGCATTCTCTGGTCATTGTGCGAAGCACAGCAATGCAGTGAAGGGGGACGAGGAGTGCGAGAGGAGGAGGATGGGGGAGAAGAGGGAGCAGTAGGGACATGCGAGGGTTGAGCACAACCATCGCTCCCCAAACAGAGCTTGCACTTGCGGGTTCGTGCGTGTTGTACAAAACGAGTTGCGGGCCTGACGGTCGGTCTGGCGCCCAGGCTGCCTCCGTCGCCCTCCCGTCGCCGCCTCGTCGCCGCCCGTCGTTCTGGCGGCTCTGTTGCCGCCGTCGCCGCCCCGTCGCTGTCACGTCGCCGCCCGTCGCGCCGGTTTGTGGCTACGTTGTCACCGTCGTCGTCCCGTCACCGCCTGGTCGCCGCCCTGCTGCCGCCTCGTCGCCGCCTGGCCACCGCCCCTTGGATAACAGAGGCTGCGCCACACAGATTGCACCATCTGGTATGCACCCGATAGATTGCCCAACATCGGTTGCATAACATACATTGCACCACTTATATTGAATGTACACATACAAAATAACGTTTGTTTATTGCACCATCTCTATATAGATATGCACATGCACATCTACATTTATGTACATGTACATATATATACATATGTATCGCACCACATAGACAGCACCACATACATGTTACCACATATGTTGCACACCATAGGTAGCGCCTGACATATTGTTCCACATAGAGTGAATCACGCATAGTGCAACGCATATTCTGGACCAAGACTGTTGAACAACATAGTTGCACATCGTAGGTTGCACCACGTTGGTTGCATGACATAGATTGCACATCATCTTGCACAACATGGATTGCACATCGCAGATTGCACCACCTAAATTGCACAACAAGAATTGCACCACGTAGATTGGAGCACATCTGTTGTCTTACATGTATTGCAGCACCAACATGCTTTATTTCGGTCGCACCATACATAGTGTTAGACACATACGGTTTGGGGTCCACGCTGGCTAGCATTATATTCCCATCAATCCCCTTCCTCGCTCCTAGCTATCTGTAGCTATCTGTAGCTATCCATCGCAGATCCTTCCCAGTCCATAGCAATATGTACGCTCTGTCATAGAAGATCCCCAAAGGTATTTGCTTTTCCAGCTCTGTTGGTTATTCCTAGGCATTCCCAGACGGCGACGGCGCGAATCGTGACGTTACCAAGGGGGTGGGGTGGACGGAGCCAGCAACGGCCGCTACCTCGAAGAACTAATTATCTTGGGCCAGCCATGGGGTTATCTTGGCATGCCGGAAATCAGTCGCTTGATTTTGTTAGTGGGTCGGTCGTCCATGTCCTCGATTCTCGGAGCGACGGTCTCCGATCCCGTGGGTCAACCTTTCAAGTCGACAACATGTTGGCCGGTTCGGGACCAGCATGTGCCATGGCATTCATCTTATTTTTTGTCAGGTAGACCGGCTGCAGATGCACTTCAACATCCTCTCATCGCAGGGCGGATTTCGTTCGGAAGTCATTGGTATGGGCCCGGATTGTCCTGGAGAATTTCGCTTCGGATTTCGAATTGAATTTCGTGCGGTTCTTTTGGGGGCTGTCCTTGCTCCCCCTGCCCCCCTCCCCCCCCTCCCCGCCCCTCCCTTCACCGCCTCCTCCTCTTCCGTTCTTCTCCCGCGGCCTCTCGCCGCTGCTTCTCGGCCGCCCAAGGAGGAGGGCGGGGGGAGAACTACGGAGGACGGGGGAGAAGGAGGCGGTCGGGGAGGAGGGGCAGGAGGAGCAGGAGGAGGAGGAGCAGGAGGAGGAGGAGGAGCAGGAGGAGGAAGTGTGGACAGCCTGAAAGGGCACAGTCCTGGGGCGCAAGTCGGACGGGCTTCAAGTGGAGGAGTTGCAGCGTCTGGCCTTGAGTCGGGACTGCCGCTTCATTTGCCCAAGGGGGCGAGGGCCCACCGGATTTGTTTTGTCAGGATGTGGTCATCGGGCAATCGATTCGACCTTACGAGCTTTGCTGGCTGCTGCGAGTGCTCGGAAAGGATGAGGACGGTGAGGATGAAAAGGACGGGGACGAGGAGGAGGACGAGGAGGAGGAAGCCTCCCTCCCCCCCATGGATGGCCCTGTAACGTAGTTACTCCGCCGCCCTTGGGGGGTCGTCTTCGCCGTCATTGGCCGGATTTTCTTGACACGGATGGAGTTTGGTCAACCCCTTGGGGCAGTCGGCTGTTGAGGGGGGAGATGGCTACGTTCGGATAGCACTCTGAAGCCACCAGCGTCAGCGTCAGGAGCGAGGCCGCGCAGGCTTCCGCGGCGGCGCTGGCCGACGAGCTGGCGCGCCAGGCGCGCCTGCGTGGGCGCCATTGGCCGGCGGCGCTGATCGACGGGGTCGGCTGCGTCGTCATCTTGCTGCGCGCCCCGTTCAGTGGGTGGATCTGGCGGGCGACGCGGGCGACAGGACGCCTCCTCCTCCTCCTCCTCCTCCTCCTCCTCCTCCTGAGTCCACTGCTGCTCCTC